GCGGGTACAAAAATACCGAACTAACTTTAGAGCGTACGAACTGAACACAAACGAAGATTAGAATGAAACAACAACGCCTTGAAATACGAGATCGAAATCATGTGACCTCCCTGTTTACCTGGGGAAATTAACCATTTTGAGTTCCCCAAAATAACAAGTTTTTGTTTCTTTTTTTGTTTCTTTTTTCTACTGTGTAGGCTGGAATTGGGGATATTGCTATCAATGACTTTCTCCTCATAGAGGCCTCAATATACAAACTGCTAAAGAAACATATGGATCAAGAACCATATTATGTTGATGTTTTGAATCTATTTCATGAGGTCAGTACAGATCCATCAATATAGATATGAATTGTAAACAAGACCTGGAAACATACGTAAAAACTGTACATAATACTCGATAAAACCTGGCTCCAGTTTGAAGGTTAGACAATGTTTTCCAATGAATAAAACTCTATATTCTATATGTTTTGTTATCATTTATTCATTAGTTAACGATTTATCAGTTGGATAATGTTATCTTCCCTTTACAAAAACTGGGCCTTGAAGTCCAGTTGTAGCAAGTACCTTAACATTGAGTTAAAGTGTAGTTGAAGTTAGTAATATTTGTTGCAAAACAGAATGTCATTTCCTTCAAATGTTGACATTAATTTTTTGACGAGAGCAACTTTGTGGGTGTACTGTCAATTCAGTTTGAACATGCTTGTTTTTTTTTTTTTTTTCCTCATGTATTGGCAAACATTTCTATTATGGGTAATAGTCCATTTTACAGTTGTTTGCTTGGTTGCCAAGCCTTTGAACAGGAATGAGGCTTGGGGTGACCTTGTTGGGATATAAACATTGTTGCTTTTCTAATGTAAATTAATTTGTTATCATGCTAACTAGATACTGGTGTCTATCACAACAAGGTCACCTTCAGTCTCACTCCGAATCTCCAAATCAAAGGCTTTGCAACTGAAGACACAGTAGTAAAGTGGCCTATTTGTCACATTTCTGGTGCTGCAGACACATGGTGTTGTGCACCAGAGTTTGCCAGGTCAACCACCATGATAGTATGAGGATAGGCACAACGATTTCAAACTCATTTATTCATACAGCACATGTGGCGAAAACTAAAGAAATGCACAATGTCTTGAAATAAGGGAAATCTAAAAGGCTACAAATATGAACAAAGGCACAAACAAAAAGTAATCAACAGGCATGACCTACATTGGATTTGCCTCGAAGGGATAATGAACTCCTAGCTCTGGAAAACTCCCAACTCCATTAAGTTTACTCCCTATATACTGTACAAGCAATTTCTGCTGAAAACTGAACTAAGAGCGCATGGTAAGGGAATTTAGCTGATGCGTTTTTGTAGAGGAAATAAAAATTAACAATGGTTTTAACTGTTAGCAACAAATGGAGATTCTATAATCAGTGAATCAATGAATCAGTGTCTTTGTAATAAATAGGGAAAAAGTCTTTAAGTGTAAAAATGACAGTTCATCTTCATCAATGTGACACTTTTGAACCATTGGCTGACACTTTGTTGTGTGATCTGTTCCTCAGGTTACATATCAAACTGCAACTGGACAAGCATTAGACCTCATCACCAAGCCGGGCGAAAATTTTGAGAATTTTACCTTAGAAAGGTATAATGCTCTAGCCACTATTTGACCAAATTAAGGACTCAGTGCCAAAATTGCAAACAATGATTAAAAACTGGAAACTTTCAGAGATTATAACTTACAAAATCCTACGTTGACACAAAGATGATGAAAACAGGGTTAGTTAGAAGAGTTATTGTCACCAATGTGTCATTTGCCAAAATACAGCCAAAGGACAAATGAACAAAGAATATAATTCAGTGTTTACTACGCAGCTGGTTGCTTGAGAATGAACATTATTAATTAGTGCTGGTTACGTGCAAGGAAATGTTGTGAAATCAAAGATGAAAACAGCAGTGTTGCAGTTTATGTTCAAGGCTAAGTCCTAACAATGCACACTCTTTTACTTAGGTGTCCACACTAATAGTCAAAATCAATTTGTTCATTGTAATTTAGTCAATTATTTTGCATGCTTAAATTAGGCCATTTTTTGCCATGGCCTCTTTCAAGTTCCATTTGTTGACTTTATTTGTATTTTTTGCCTAAAATACCATCTTCAGTTGCCAGTTTAGTTTCACAAGATGTTTCATAGATGTTCGCTACTTCCTTTGTGAGTGGAGTTTAATGCTTTGAATTGAAAAAAGTGTGGTTTTGCCCTTATGTCTCTGCACACACATGGATTGGATTGGATTGGTGAATGGATTGGTAGGAAGATAATATTACTGCAATGGGGAGAAAGGAGGGACCCATCCCACACTCCCTTATTTTGGCTCCACATAGCCATCACCTCCCCCCCTTCTTTTCCCTATTCACAACATGCCCCATTTAATAAATGAATGCCTGGAACAGGCTAGGTTACTAAGCAGCTCATTTTTGTTTCAGATACAAGGCCATTGTGAAATACAAGACAGCATATTATTCCTTTTACTTGCCAGTTGCTTTGGCAATGTATATGGTGAGGATCCAATGATTATGCGCTTTTGATCACCGGGTATGTTAAAAAGCGCACTATAAATCAATAAATTATTATTAATTATTATTATTATTATTATGATTGTTGTGCGATTTCTGATAT